AWTYGAATGTATTCTGATTTTATCCCTCAAATGATTGATTATGATTTGTGTGGTGGATGTCAGTGGAATTAGGAAGTCCAAAAACAAATTTTTGAATGCCAAACAAGGCATTTTCTTGAAATTGATAAATTTCTTAAGTTGTTTTCTATTTGTTGATACCGCACGATGAAGTTGCACAATGTTGTTCGGTTGATGCAAGTGGTTTTGTAGGATACTAATGATGACGATCTTGAAGTGGTGGTATTACAACGCTTTCCATGTGAATATTATCATGACTATACTAGCGTTTTCCCATGCCTAGGAGACGTATACGATTTAACAAATGCTGTTATAAAGGATGATTTGCTAGCTTTAGCGATGCTAAAATAATTCGAGTATAGTGCTATTTAAGGAATGACGACAAGCTAGACCATCTTAATGGCATGACTGTTTTAGTAAAAGGAGATGCAGACTCTTTGAGCCAAAAGGATTTGAATTGGCAAGAGTTACAGTTTCAAAAGAGGGGTTCTTCTATTTGATCTTGTTTAGAGCCCAAAAGGGCCAGGTCTTCAGGAAACAGTCTCTCTACTCTTTGGGGCTTTGGGTGTGCATACATCCTACCATCCCTAGACCCGTACTTCGTGTTGGATCTATTGGGTTCCTATGGTTTCGTTTAGAGAAATAGATGTTTTCCTTAGTCTTGTGAAGGGTGTCCAATAGTCATATAACATAGAGAATGTAGATATGATACTTAATGGATCGGTTTATTGGCTTATACCATATAACTCTAGCCCCATTACTATTTTCCGCATTTGGGTTTGTAGTGAAATTAAAACTATCAAACAGACTCACAGATTCAATATAATAGTTGATCTTTGATGTCCTGAATTACTTATGACTCGAACAACTAACCTTCTTTGTTATTGAAATTTATAGACCTCATACTATATGATACCTATCCTAACAAAGCATGACATTTCTAACTTTACTAGAAAAATGATTAATTAGCAGTACACTGTTTGATCAACAGAGATCTTGAGGGCTTCAGGGATGATACCCAATCAAGGGTTTAATGACTATGACAGACTGCAACGTGGTAGCCCAAGTCCTCTGAATCCTATAGATATTATGCCTGAAGTTGCCGCTAAAGGTTTAGGTCGTTGGAATGGAAATGCTGGTTGGAGTCCTCTTCAGCATGAGGTGAGTTCGTCTATGCAAACATGTTTAAGAGTTTACTACATCCATGGGTGATTGTTGGGAATTATAACCATCATCTACTCAAAGTGTTAATCGCTGATTAGAAATTCACCATTGTAGACTTCTGATTTATATTCCATGATCAAGGATACATTTTGATTTTCGAGTCTAGATTTATGGATAAAAAGAAAGAAAAAGCATTTTCAAGAAAAAACATGTATGAGACAGGATCGTGTGGGAGATATAAATTGGGAGTTGGAATATTTTTAGTTTTGTACCCCCTTTGGCGTAAATCAAGATATAAGTTGGTGTTTGATTTGTGTTTACATCTCAAGTTGCCATGTTAATTTGTCATTGAACACTTTTTTGCTAGTATTTTTTATATTTGCATACCCTTCATATACTCGTAATGACATATGTTCTAAAACATGAAACTGTACTCAAATTGGATTCTGACCATGATAAGCTTTAATTATATATATTTTTGTAGTATATAACGTTTAGTACTGAAAATGCAACATATAAACTCATGCACCCTCCTCACCTTTGGTAAGGTTTGAACCGTTGACCTCCTAGGAGCGCAGAGACATGGAAACCGCTAGGCTAAAGGCTCTTTGGTTAAACTTTAATATTTTCTTTGCATATGAGACACATAATTAGCTTAAGTGTAGGTGGGATTTAAGAAAATGGTTGGTTTTTCCTTTTGCCTATAGTCACAGCGATTTGGTGGGCCACAAGGACTGCCGATTGATCATTGGAATGCGGCACCGGCGAGCCCAAGTTCTTTCAATACAAAAAGAGTGTTGCGCTTGGATATACCTGTTGACAGCTTTCCTAATGTACGTTAAACACCCTAAAAGCCTCTTAAGATTTTTTTGAGATGTCTGCTTTTGTCTCAAAGTTTATTGAAATTTTTTGCTTGTGTTCTTCAGTTCAACTTTGTCGGACGGCTTCTAGGTCCTCGAGGCAATTCCTTAAAGCGAGTCGAAGCTTCTACCGGATGCCGTGTCTTCATTAGAGGAAGGGGTTCTATAAAAGACCCTGACAAGGTAAAAGAACTCCATAAAAAATGAAATAAACAAATGGAAACAAGTCGGATCTTTAGAAAATTGTTTGTGTTGATATATTAACATATATGTAAAAATGAGAACTTGGTCCGATGGTTTTAAACTAACCACTCAGTGAGTTGAAGTTGAGTGGTTTTACGGCATCTTTTGATTGGGATAGCGTCTGTTACGTGTGCTTTTTAGATAGGCAAGATTTGAAGAAAACATTTTTCTCTCTCAAATCCATGACTTGCAATTGTGCTTTCAGTTTGTTTTATTTACCCTTTTGGCAAGTCGCTTTTCTGTCTTTTGAGACCGAGGTAAAGTCTGCATACATCTTATCCCCAGACCTTGCTTGCAGATGGGATATACTAGGTTCGTTTGTTTTGTTGATTTGCTATTTTCATGTATTGATTATTTTTGCTTTGTGTGCGCTAAAAAGGAGGAGAGTCTGAGGGGAAGACCAGGCTACGAGCACCTTAACGAGCCACTACACATCTTAATCGAAGCAGAAATGTCCGCAAGTATCATCGATGTACGTTTGAGACAAGCACAAGAAATCATCGAAGAGCTGCTCAAACCCGTGGTATGTTTTCTTTCATGGGCTGTACATCATGCATAAGTTACTGACATGTTAGAATATGCGAAGCCTCTTTAATTTCTCTTAAAGAGCCCTTACAGAGGGGAAAGGCTAACAATATGTCAATATGTATGTATATATATTGGTTAGATGGACAGTGTCTAACCAATTTGAGAACCCAACCCAGCATGTATGTATGTATGTATGTATGTATGTATGTATGTATGTATGTATGTATGTATGTATGTATGTATGTATGTATGTATGTATGTATGTATGTATGTATGCATGCATGTATGTATGCATGTATGTATGTATGTATGTATGTATGTATGTATGCATGTATGTATGCCGTGCGTAGCTGATGTGAGACTCTAATATGTTTGATTGATCACAGGATGAGTCTCAAGATCTGTATAAGAGACAACAGCTGAGAGAGCTGGCTATGTTAAACAACAACTTCAGAGAACACAGTCCGCAACCGAGAGGCAGCGTGTCGCCTTTTGGTTCGAGTGGAATGAAGCGAGCCAAGACCGGTTGGTGAGGAATGCACAATGTGTACAACTCCTTGATGCATGGTTCACCATCCGTGGTGGACTTTTTAACTGAAAAATGAAACAAGGGTCACAGAACAGTTTGATGTAGGTTTTTTCATTTATTTATTTTCTTTTTATATTTTAAATAATAATTTGTGTTTTTTTGTTGGTTTGTAGGTCTTGGGACATTATTAGTTGCTTGGTTTCCTTTTTGTTGTCAAATTAAGTAGAAACAGTTATTGGATTTATTTGTTATCAACCTTTCTTTGTGTTATTAGTATTTTATATAGTGCAACTAATGGCACCAAGTTGCTTCGAATCGGAGCTCTGATGGTTGGCCGTTGGCCGTTTCTTTCTTTGAATTCTTTCGATTTACATGTTTTTGGTCTTTCTCGAGTCCCCAAGTTTCTTCTAAAAGATCTTCTTGAAGGGTCCTTGAATTGGGCAATGGTACGAGATAAAGAGCATCTCCAATAGATTCTTGACAGGAAACTGTTGTTTATATTTTAGCTTCTAACGTTTATCAGTATAATTAAAAAATACAGTATTTATAACACCCATTATTATATTCATTCATTCACAATGCATTTTAATTTAAGGAATTGCATTGTATGAAGTTATTTTGTAATAAAAGATAAGGAATTGTCACTAGACAAAGCATGATACCATATGTATAAAAGTGACCATAATATGTGGTGGAAATTTTGATTGAGTGGAAACAAGAGAGAAAAGAAAAAGGGTCTAAATCAATTGGACAGCAAAAAAGAAAAAGAACTTGGCTTAAATGTAACTCAAAACTTTTAATTTTTTTTTTGGATGTCTGGGTTTGAGTCACTGATCAAAAACCCTATCAACCCAATCTAATACGAAATAACTTAACTCGAAGCAACTTGATGTCTAATCGAGTTGTAAAATTGTCAAACCGTAAGTATTGAGTTGATATTTGGTTACTATTATTTGAACCCAACCCGATATCCTTTTATTTATTGGATTTAATATGATTGTTGAATTTCTATTAGTATGTGCATTAGATAATTACACTATCATGTATGTTCTTCATATACACATATTTTCAATCTATTCACATTTTTATATAACTCATTCGTACATATGTTCAGTAACTGTGACATATATATGTAAATTGAGAAAATTAACTGAATGTGGTATACGTAAGAAGTATGGATAAGTTGTATCAAATGGTTGATGATGAAAAAGAAATTATGAGTAGAGAAATAACATATTCTAGGTTAGAAGAATATTTTAATGTACCAAAGTATCAACCCGACCAACCCGTATGGGTTGGGTTGGGTTAAGATTTTTCAAATCGCAAGCATTGAGTTGTGTTGTTCAAATGTTTTCAACCCGATAAACTCAACCCATGAGCACCCCTAACCATAATTGGTTTGGTTTCTATCAACTTCATCCCGTATTTAAACTTTGAACCCGACAAATTAAGAAACCCGAAATCTATTGATTTTTTTAACATTTTAAAACATAGGCAAATTCAAGATTTTTGTCAAAGGCTCACAAAGTTGTTTGATGTGTTATATTATGACCCGTTACAAGATCGGTTTCTAATAATCATAACGCCACTCTCCCATTGGTCAAGGAGTTATCGTTTTTCTTTTTGCCCCTTTTGGGTTATGTTTGGTACATGGGACAATATAGACAGGAAGGAACAACACTCATTTTCTCACGTTTGGCGCAACATAATACACGACAAAAATTTATTATCCCATGTTTTGGCGCGACATGGTATAGGGACAAAAAAGGTTTTTCTTGTTCCACAAAAACAAGTGGAACAACATGGGACAAAAGTGAGACAAAAACTACTAATGTATCCTTTTTTGATATATAAACCTAATATAACATTTGTTTTTATGGTCATCACCGCCCATCGCCCACTGCCGCCACCACCAACGGCCACCTGTAGCCATTGCCAACCACCATCGATCACCTCCACTATAACAACCTCCTCTACCACCTCCACAACCACTGTTGGCCACTAACCACCATCGTCGATCGCCACCACCAATACCATCATCAGCTACCTCCACCAACCACCACCAACCATCGCCGCTCACCACCACCATTGTCCATCATCTCCACCTTGTCCACCAGTCACAACCTCCTCTAACTCCACCTGTCGTTGCAACAATCTTCACCCGTGCCTTTGCCAATTCATAAGGATCTTCCAAACTGAATCAAACATAATTTTTCCTTTGTACGAATCGGGTTTTTTCGAACTAACATGAATAATATCAAATTATCTATTCAAATTTCGTACTATTTTATATATGTATTTTATTTGTATGAAAATTGTGTAAGAATGTTTATAAATTAAATTATTTAAATATTTACTTTACTTGTGTTATTTATAATTGTTATATGATACATAAAATCATCAAACAACTTTTAGGGGTAACTTGTCTGGTCATGTTCTAATCGTACCAAACACGAGACAACCAACTTATCTTGTCCAACCCAACCCTTTTGTCTCGTTTAGTTTTGTCCAATCGTACCTTCATATTATTACCATTTTTTCTTTCAACAAATGTCTAAATAAGTTGTTATTGTTATTACGTTTTGTCATTCAACAATTGATTTCACATTGTTATAATTCATTATTTTATATTACTTCTGTTTCAAATTTCTTCGTATTTGCTATCATTTCGTGTTCCAATTTTCTTTGTGCCCGATATATGGGGTTTCTATTGCTAAAGCAATGGTATCATGCCATTCCTACTCAAATGTTGGTTTCAAGCGGGGTATTTGTTTTCTTATCATGTCGTCAAAGTAATCGTCTACTATTGCTGAAATGGACCCGTGTAACAACATCACAACTTGACAATATTGGTGAGTGGAAAAAAGAAAGCACAATGCGAAAAATGTTATGCACTTATGCTGAAGGAAAACTTGACAATCGGACTTACTTATAGTCGAAGTGGTCACAATTCCGACAACAACTATCGCTACTCTTCGTGCAACCGTAGGTTTTGGAAGCAAGGTTTTGAGGAGAATTTTTGACCAAAATTGCAAACAAGTACATTACAACGAATGTAAGCACATTATCAAAATGTATTGCAATTATGCATAACTAGGTAAGAACATTGTATTTGCATGGTGAATCAAAATATTTTATGGGATAAATCGATAATTCAATATGTTACCAATTATGACAAAATGATCCTTATTATAATCAATAGTCTCACACTTTTTTTTTTTAATTTTAAGCCAATTACAAAGTTTGATTGTGTAGAACTTATTAATATATATATATATATATATATATATATATGAGCCTAATCAAATGAGAACTAGATAGTTTGTGGTAACTGTAAAGTCTAATATGAACCAATTATTTTAGATAATTAATGTTAATTACTAAAATAAAACAAAAGATAAATTAATAAATTGTGTTGATCATTCAATTTACTTTAATTAGTTTAATATTCCAATTTACATTAGTTAGTTTAATTATTTTAATATATGTATATATATATATATATATATATATATACACACACGGACACAAAGGGACCAAATACGGTGGCCTTCTTCGGCACCCACCACCACTCCAGTAACCTCCTCCGGTCCTCTTATCTGACCAAGACGCCGTCTCCGATGATCGACCACTAAACACCCACCAGTGAGCATTCCCGACAACTAGCCCCATCTTTGTCCCTGTGACCCCCTCACTACCTATCTTCGTCCCTCATATTCGCCACAGTTGGTATCACAGTGGTACCACAGTTGGTATCACAATGATACCACAATTGGTATCATAGTGGTCTCAAAGTTACTTGATATGTTTTGAGTATCACATTATGTATCTTGGTGTATTTTGGGTATCACATGGTGTTCGTAGGAGGTCGGAAGTAGGAGAGAGAGAGGAGAGATAAAAAAATTAAACTACCTAAAATGCCCTTTAATTATAGTTTTAAGTCAAATTACCAAAAATATTAGTTTCATAATTTATCCATTGATTTGTGGTTGAGATTATATCTTACAATTATCACAAACTAATCAGTTCTCCCTTGAATGTACCTCTCTCTCTCTCTCTCTCTCTCTATATATATATATATATATATGGGTTGGGTTCACGTGAGACCAATGATTTTTCGTGAGACTCGTAAGACTAATTTATGTTCATTGATCAACTTTATAACCTAATGATCTAATGGTCTAAAGTTGCAAGGTGGCAATTTTGTAATTATTGAGAAGTCTCGTGGCGTTTATGAATGTTCAGATATGACGATTATACATCTAATCCAACGGTTGAGAATTGGTCTCACTCACAGGTCTCACGAAAAACCATTGGTCTCACATGATCCCAAGTCATATATATATAGGGGGAAGATCAAATGTTAACCAATAATTTTGTGTTAACTTTGAAAACCATGGCAACCAATCAAATTCCATTCTTCTTGTAGGTTTATGTCATGTTCACATTTTAATTACAAGAGTATTTCAGTAAATTGATTTGATATGTAACTCTCAAACAATTATTGGGGAGTTACAAATCATCAAATCCCAAAAAATATGCATTTATAATATTAATATTAATATTTTTTTTAATCTTGATCTTGCATGTTCATTGTTTTATCAGTTTTTAATTCGCATAGAAAACAAGGTAGTAAAAAATTTCGGTATCGATCAAGCTAATATGGATAAACGCTATGGAAAATAAATCGACAACAATTAGAAGATTAAAATGGTTTATGATGACAATTGGAGTTCGAGGTCGGGAATTGAATAAATTAACTAAAACGAATGTCTTGGTAATAAATTTTTATTTTTTTAAGATTCGTTTTAATCGAAATTATGTTCATTACGATGTGTTGTGTTTTTTATAATTCATCTTTTATTGATAGTTTTTTTCTTTAATTATTAAAATACGTACTTAATTCACATGTTCAAATGGAAGTACATGCACGACCCATTTTCATATTGTCATATTACCGACTTTTATGAATCATGAACCATTGTATTCATGTTACTTCTATCATATGAACACAAGTGTTATTTTTTAAGCTTGATACCAAATCTTTATATTTGTGTAAGTGTTTACACCCGGTGTTCATAACGTTGGGGTTATGTGTTCATATATTTTATACGATATGAACAAGGGGTGAACATGATATGAACAAGGGGTGAACAACCATATAAGATCAGAAACATATATGAACAAGGGTGAACCTTAAACGGTGTRGATGCAATGCATGTATAAAACTCCAATTGACAAAAGATCGCTCATGAATGTGTTTATAATAAACGAACTATTGTTCACAAGCTGTTCATATCGTGTTCATATCTGTTTTATTTATTTATTTACTTTCGTATATCAGTTATTCTTATTATGTTCATATTGTGTTAATAAATGTTATGCAGTCCAAGTTTATATATATGTCAAATTTTTGTTCGTATTTGACACAATGGTT